TGGGTGCTCAGGGCGGAGAAGGAGCCGTAGGAAGGAGCAGGCTTCGCAGCCTTGCCGTTGGACGCAGCCGGCTTCTGGACGGCCTGGGCAATGGGGCGAGACTGGGCCGGGGCGGGAGCGGCGGCGGCGGCGGCGGGGGCCTCGACCTCGGGTTCGGCAGCCTGAACCTCCTTCTTGGCCTTCTTGGACTTCTTGGAAACCGTGTTCCACTCATCCTCCTGCTTGAGCTGCTCCATCTGCTCCTCCTCGGAGGGGAGCGAAGAGATCCAGTTGTCGGAGGCCGGGGCGGGAGCAGCGGCGGCGGAGGTGCCGTTCTGAGCAGGAGCGTCGAAGGTGTCGAGAGGCTGGACGGCGGCAGAGCTGCCGTTGGTGGAGGCGCCGTTGGGGCTGCCGGCGGTCCAGGAGTTCTTGCCGTTGGCAGCAGCCATGAACTGGGAGCCGTCCTTGGCGGGGGTGCCGGAGGCGATGCGAGCGGTGCGGAGCTGCTTCTCGAGCTTGACCTTGCGCTCCTTCTCCTCCTCCTCGCGAGCAGCCTTCTTGGCCTCGGCCTTTTGGCGGTTCTGGCGCTGCTTCTTGGTCTCGGCCTTCTCGGGGACCTTCTGGTTCTTGGGCTTGGTGGCCTTCTCCTCGGTGCCAGTCAGGCGGAGGACGGAGGGGCCGGCGGCGGCGGGCTCGAGCATGTCACTCACTCCGCTGGCGTCGACGGGCGCCACCTCGGGGGAAGCGGCGGGAGACTCCTCAACAGCCTCGACGGCAGGGGCCTGAGCGGGCTCCGGCTCGGCGACCTCAACGGGCTTCTCGACAGCGCGGGACTGCTTGACGGACTTTTGCTTCTTCTCCTTGTTTCCAGAAGACTTGCCATCAAACTTCTTGCCCTCCTTTGCGGCGGCCATTCTTCTGGCAAAGTCATTGTTGTCGACCTTCTCATCAGGGTCGTTGCTCAGCCAAGCGGATGAGTCGTTGGCGGTGGAAGAGGCCTTGTCCTCTGCAGGCTTTTGTGACGCAAAGGCAGCCTTTCTTGCCTTCTTTGCGTTGTTCTCCTTGCGCGGCTCGACGTATGGCTTGACTCCCTTGGGAGCAATCTGCTTGCCGTTCTTCTCGGCCATGTAGTAATAGGTCAGACCTCCAGCCAGAGCAAGAACCACCAGGTATCCGCCCATAGTCTGGGTCGTGAGGAACTCGGAGGTAGGCATTGTGACTGGTATTGGAGGCTCGAGGCACTCGCTTTGCGATGGATATTAAGGGGTTTGTGGATTAAGCTCGCAAGGTGCGATCGAAGACGGTGGGTTATCGGAGCAGTACCGAAACCTATGCCGAGATAACACAAGGCGTGTCTTCGTGCTTCACGGATGTTGGAGAAGCGGAGAGGATAGGATGTCTGTTCAATGTGAAGTTAGCATCAGGGCAAGATTTGAGTTAAGCTTTGAGTAGATGCATTCATCCAGGGTAGCTGGGGCAGGTGCGGATGGGCACATACAGAGGGATGCAATCGGGCGCAACAATTGATGGCTCGATGCAGATAATGTGCAGGAGTGATGGGGGCGGGAAGGTGTGAAAATTGTAGAACAAGGGAAGAGAGGCAAAAGGGTGATGAAAGAGGTGTTTCAACCACGCGATTGAAAGACTGGCAAGATGTCGTGTTCAGATGCCAGGTAGCTTGGCAAGAGCAAGGAGCAGGCAAAAAAAAGTTACCAGGTGGCTTCTCAGCAAATATCCAATGGGCGCCAATGGGTGTGGTCGTCCGGTGGTCCAGTTTGGTGCTAGCAGTCCACTAAGGTGCCAGCAATGGGGATTTCTGACAGACCAGGACTCGGGCAAGGGAAGGGGTCCCGTCACGGATTCAAGACCCGACCGCCGCAGAAGTGCTGCTGCTGCTGCTGATGCTCCTTTTGCTGCGCTGCTGCACCGTACCCGGTGTGCATCCGAATCCCCAAGAGTGGGAATTACGAATCGGGTTTGGTGTCGTTGCCGCAGGTCGCAGGTGCCCCAGGGATGTGTTTGGTCTGGCCGGAGAGCTGAGATGAAGCGGGAGGCGAAGACACCGGCAAGAGAGAAGTGTCCAGACCAATTTGCGCGTAGCAAAAAAAGAAATAACCGGAGGCAATTGGTGATTCGCAAGGCTGAACAGGCAATTGGATTGAAGCGAAGAAAAATTGTCACTCACCTTGAGGCAGTCGCATTGACCGATCGTCGAGCTTGTTGTTCCTCCAGAGCTTGAGCTGGAGAAGTGGACAGGATGAGGTTATCTCTCCAGGGCCTTGTTATGTAATTTCCTGGGCCATCTTGAAAGTGACAGCTTCGCAATTCCACGGGTGGAAGGGACCTCCGGGACGCTAGTCCAAGCACGGGCTTCGGAGTAATTGCAAGCTGCAGAGGTCGCAAAGGTCACGTGGCCTCTGGGTAGCTGCGCACACGTGATCGTCTTACTCTCGAGCTTCTCATTGGATGTAGCAGATAGGCGGCGTTTTGATAACTCCGGGAAGGCGCCTACCGCAAATGGGAGCTCCCCTGCTGAAGAAGGAGGCAATTCGGTGCCGAGGGACGGCTCTTGCCTCGCGCGAGAATGACCCAAGAACAGAGGGAGAACAAAACAATACATCATACCTAGCTATTACTTAAGTCCAAAGTAAAAATAGCCATGGACAGGCTCACGTGCGTGCGACACCAATTCGCTCCTTTCCATAGCTCTCGAGGCTTTCCTTCCCGCACCTCATCCAATGTTGGAAACCTTGAGTTGCAACCTGCCGCATGTCAGATCCCATTTCCCCGATAAGAGAGCTGCGACAGCGGTGCCTGGGCCAGCTGTCCCTTATCGCTCACCTGCGCTGGCCTGAAGGGGCTTAGCGGCCCTCTCCAGGACGCTGATTCCCACTAAACCCCACCATCGACGTTAAGAAGTGTTAGGAATGAGGGGTCGTCGCCTACCGAATCTCTATGCAACGCCGTCACTGATGCGAGAAAACCCTTGCGGGACGACGAACTAGAGAGCTTTGAACCTCTCACTGTTAGGAATTTAAGAATCGCTGCCGGACAACTCCGTCAACCACTACCCACCGCCGATATCCGTCGAACTCCGCCTGACTCAGCGGATCCAGTTTTATATAACGATTCAACGGTCCCTTTCAAGATACTATCTACTATCGTGTCGCAAACCGTCAGACTTGAGACGAAATAACTTCGTCCTTCATCTGAAAAAGAAAAGTAACAATAGTATACCCAACATCCCTAGCCATGGCCCCTAAGAACCGTGTGATCATCGATACCGACCCTGGTGAGAATACCCAACGCAAGATCAAGACGTACAGCGAGGCTGAATTTCAAATTAGGTATCGATGATGTTCTCGCCATGCTCTTGGCCCTCGCGGCCTCCCCTGAGGAGTTGGAGGTCATGATGATTTCAGTCACATACGGCAACGTGCCTCTTCAGAGGTATGCATCCCGGTGTTCATCGACTTCTCGGTATTGACGATTCTCAGCTGCCTACGCAACGCGGTTGCGCTGTTCCATGTTCTGGAAAAGGAGTTGGCCTGGCGCAAGGAGAACGGCAAGCCCGAGGGTTTTGAGTCGTTGAGGGCTTATAAGCCTATTGTTGCTGTCGGGGCAGAACATCCTCTTGAGGATGATGAGCTGGCAGCCGACTACTTCCGTGAGGAACACCGCGTACCAAATGCTATGTCAAACACTAACGAACAAAGATGGCCTCGATGGTCTGCACGGCGTCCATGAGAAGCATCCCCACCTCACCCCCGACGACAGATGGAAGGCACTCTTCCACACAGAGAAGGACGTTGACCACGACCCGTCCCCCTTCAACCAGTACTTCACACCAGCCAAGCAGGTCGCTCACAAGGAGATTCTGCGCATCCTGAAGGAGAACCCTCCCAACACCATCTCCATTTGCGTCGTTGGCCCCATGACGAACGTCGCCCTCGCCGCTGCCGAGGACCCCGAGACCTTCCTCCGTGTGAAGGAGCTGTGCGTCATGGGCGGTGCCGTCCATGTTGAGGGAAACATCACCCCCGTTGGTGAATTCAACACTTTTGCGGATACCGTCGCGGCGGCCCGAGTCTTCGCCCTGACCTCCCCCAACCCCCGCTCAACCATGCCTCCCATCTCGAAGGAGAAGTCATCTCTCCCGCCTTACCCGGCCAAGCTGTCCAAGCAGCTCAAGCTGACCCTCTTCCCCCTCGACATCACGACGCCCCACCTGCTCAACAAGAACTTCTTCAACGAGCGAATCAAGCCCGTTGTCGAAGCAGGCAGCCCTCTTGGTCAATGGGTTGACCACTTCATGTCCAAGACCTTTGAGAAGGTTGAGTCTATGGAGGGCAACGGCGAGGAGCCCGGCCTCTCCCTGCACGACCCTCTCACCGTCTGGTACCTCATTACACAGTCCGACCCTAAGTGGAAGCCCGTCGCGGAGCCTGAGGACATCCGTATCGAAACCTCTGGCCAGTGGACGCGCGGAATGCACATCATTGACCGCAGAGTCAGAGCCAAGTACACCGAGGCGGCCCTCGAAAGCGACTCCACCGGCGATGGCGTCGACGTCCTTACCCTGGCCGAGGTGCCGGGCGACTGCGGCGGTTGGCTCAGCCACAGCAGAGGCAACAGGATCAACAGGATGGTCGAGTCTCCCGGCGAGAAGCTGTTCGCGCATGATCTGATGAAGAGGATCTTTGGTTGAAATGTATAGAATGCGACGACCCCTGACTGTCTTCGGGGGCTTCTCGTTTCGGTGTCAGCACAACAGCATTGAGACTGGCATGGAGATTGGATAGAAAAAGGCAGGCGCATACCCCTTAGGAACCCAAATGTTCATTCTCTACCAACCCAGAAAACATTCAACGCCGTGATTTTGTGTGTCTTGCGCGCCTCCATCTGGCAGGCTCGTATCTTCCCAATACTCGGGTATCCCGCTCGCAATTAAATAAAAGAAAACCAATCCCTGCTTTTCGACTCCGATGACATGCTGCCCCTTCGTCGTAGTTTTCGCCTGTCTATACGTGCTTCGTTCCTCCAATGGCGGATCCCTTGACCTCAGTCCAGTTGATGCTCTCGTCTAGTTGCTCGTCTACGAGGCCGACGGTGCAGACGTTGTCGCCGCGCACGAGGTAGAGGCCGAGGGGGACTTCGACGGAGGGCTCGCCGCTCTCGGGGGTCTGGATCACGCGCTCTTGGGCATTGCTGAGGACCTGGGCGCATGACTTGGTTAGCCGACTGCTGGAGGAGAGAGCGAGCGCCGGGGAACGAGAGTGCCTTACGAGGTTTGTGTTTTGGTCTGCGGCCTCGAGGTTGCCGACGAGGATTCTCGAGTCGACTGTGACAATGAGCACCTTCTCTGTTTCCGAGTACGTTAGCAAATGTAGGAACGTGGCCTGAGAGGTGTAGTAGAAGATCGTGACATACTGTTCAAGTAGCCTCCGAGTGTCGCCATGATTGCGGTCTGGATTCGATGGTTGGACTCGGGAATAGGCGTTACTTCTGGCTAAGATGGAGCTACAAAGAGACGATAGCACGACGTTTGGGGTATTCGTCGTGGGACCTTTGGAATTCGGGTCTCGCTCAGCTGCTCTTGTTGTATCTAAACGTTGGACTTTGATGCCGCTTGGTGAAATTCGGAAATCTGAGAGGGACCTAGGAGCTCCCACACTAGTCCTGTTTGGGAAGAGGAGAGCACGGCCACTGGGGAGCTTCTGTCACCCAGTGAACTGGTCTGTGCGTCTTGCTGTTCCTGCTGCACTTTCCTTCAACTGTCATGTTCAAAGACTCTGCACTTCAAGGTGTTTGCATTGACTTGGCATTCCTTGGTCTCTATGCCAAAGATATTCTTGGCCTCCAAGAAACCAAGATTTGCCCAGTCTTGATGAAATGTAATCGAGGCAAGCCACCAAGTGGTGGGAATAGCAGATCTTTATTGCCGACTTATCAGAGCTGACGGCTAGGCTGCCCAAAATGGAAGCTGCACCAGCGAGTCGCATCGTCTGCTGTGCCGCTTGCCCGAATACACTGAAGCGGCCGTCGAAGGGCGCGCAATCCAGACCCCGGGCGAGACGACCAACGACGCAGAGCGCTTCTCCTCCCAGCCTTGCACCTCGTTCGTTGTACACGCGTCCAGGGCCGGGCGTCTCTGTCTGGCTCCCTTGGGCATGTTGAACGATTATGATCGTATGTGTGGCTCTCTGAGCTTTACTGATTTTTCAGGACTACGAGTGAGTCTGGACAGACACACCGCCTCATCCTTTGGAGATGGACGCGCACGCCGATGAGGATGCAGCACCCGCCGCCCAGAAATTCATCTTCTCGAAGCAGGACGAGAGGAGGATTAGGCGGCGGTGTATATGGGCTGCTTTCTTCTTCGACGCTGTTGCAATAGCACTCATCATACCTCTTTGCGTCGGTGGTTGGGTTCACAATGCCAATCAGGTTGGTGGGACAGTCAACAGCGAAGACATACATCTCGTAACAGTCAGTATACACTGTTCGGCACAACGCGCATGTCACTGACGTGGAGGAAAAAGTGGTCAGCGGTATATCGCCGGACCGAGAGCCAGCGCCAGAGCACTTTTGTTTTTACTTGGTTCCTGAGTAGCTGCTGCTTCAAGGAGGCATATGTCGACAGCAGCTATGCGCTCGCGGGTTGCGTACACAGAACGCCCGGCAGTGCTTTCGATCTGCAGAGTATCATTCAAGACGTCGAAGACAGGCTGGGGGAGCAGGACAATGTGGAAGCCGGTCCAATAACGGACCCAGAAGGCCGCTTCGTGGGACCATCGCCAGCAGAGTTTGCGACAGCCGACGTTGTCACCTCGACGCGGGATGCGCTGGCGTCCTACGGAATTTACCTAGCAATCAACATGGGCACTTGGATCTTCCAGATCATCTCCAAGAGGCATCACTACGCTCTCAACGCATCCCACTACCGCGTAATGACGACTGCGCAAGTTCTCGCACTGTTCGCCTTGCTCGTCGCTTCAGGCATCACAACAGCAGCAGCGCACAAAGCGAAAGCGGCCCTGGACGAATTCGACGACGTGTTTCCGTACCATGCGGTTGGGTCGTCATTCGCAGCCCTGACGTGGTGCGCCTTCGTCAGCCACATGCTTGGATGCCTCGCCTACGTCGGGGCGGTGTTGATCTGGCACCGACTGCAACGGCCGGAACTGTATCCACCAGAGCCCGAGGACGAGATTGAGCGGGCAAGGAGGGCGGGCGCGCGTGGAGAAGTGGCCGCGTATCGTCTGCGGAGACTCGACGAACCGGCGGTCCATCGGGAGGTTGATCCCAATGCTGCTGTCGATGATGAATTACCGCCATATTCCAGAGTCGACCCTAATGAAGGGAGAATAGTCAGCCAGGAAGGAAGAGAGCCTGAGATTGTGGAAGGGCCCATTGAGTTGGCTCATCTCAGAGGGATTCGCAATCCGCCCCTTCAACCGGTGGACGAGCAGGGAAATACCCCAGCTCCGGCGTATGAGCTTCACCAGTGGCCACCAAATCTCAGGACGTTACGGCGCCCAGAGACCTAGTTTTTGATGTTTGATGATACCAGGTTTCCTTCTCTTTCGTGTTCTATTTTTTGAAAGCTTATCAGCGGCGACGGGATTACGGGTTGTAACAAAGATACCTTGTGTAGTTTATAATGTTTTCAATGTGCAAGAACGGCGGGACCTCACCTCAGCAAGTAGTGCTCAAGCTTCGGGGGTAGGTGCGCTGAGCTGTGGCATCTCCAGGCGCGTCTTCGTCCAAACTCCACCGACGCGGGCCTCACCCAGCTTAAATCTGAACTCACCCAAAGCGCGTAGCTTCAAAATCTTGCTGCCCCCGACAAACCAAGCTCGCCACAATGCCTTCCCAGGACGCGCCGGTCATCTACGCGGAGCTCCTGGCAAACATCCGCCAGCTCTCCGTCGCAGTGACCCTGCCCTCGCCTGCCGAAAGAAGCACGCAGGGCACCGTCTCGCCAGATGGTTCAAAGTTGCACATTGCACACGCAGGCACACAAACGCCGTTCTCCCTCCCAGGCAACGTCGTCGCGCCCAGGAACGGCGTCCTCCCCGCACCGCACCCGGGCTCTCTCGTCCTCTCATGGCGCCTGCCTCTGTCTGACGCATCGGCGCCGCTGGCACGCGGGCCGATGGACGAGCCCGTCCCGTGGACGGCAACCGATCTGCTGCCGGAGTCGGCGGTGGCTTGCAGGGGCTGCGCAGCGACGGTAGTCCCGGAGGGCACGGCGAAGGAGTGGAGGGACCTGCCGAGCGAGAACTGGGCTGAGATGATGGACTTTTGGCACTGCCACAAGCCGACGGATCATGAGCACGATCACGAACCTGAGCACCTTGCCAAGCGTGGCTACGGCGCCAACTCGAGCATCGCGGCGCAGAACGGCGTGGGTCTGGTTGACCTTACGTCTCTTCTGTTTACTGAAGCCGACTGCTCGGGACTCGTGGTAAGTGAATTACTCTGCTTTCGTCCTCTGTTCACCATGAAGTTCTCCAGTGACATGTCTGAACGGGGCATTAAGAAGGAGGCCATATCGGCATCTCTGCCGCTCAGTGATGTGGTCACCGATACTCCGCCCCGAGATCGATTCCGTCGTTCCTGCCCCGGCAGGCTTCCGGCTTGCTGAAACCTCTGTTCGCGGATGGGTTCGGCGGGTTTGGAAGAAGACACCCTCTTCTTTTCACTGGGGACTTCCAGAGCCGTGGAAGCCTCGGGATTACCAAGAGGGACATGCACCGTTTCGCGTTCTCTTGCTTCTACCATCTCCTTTGCTTACCTCTCCTTTGTGCAGTTCTCTTGCTCCTCTTACGAAGCCGGCTCAGAAACCAGCTCAGCAGTCTTGGCTGGCGAAGCGGACCCTCCACCGCGGATGCTCTACGTTTTCTGCTCCGGCTGCAAGAGCCACGTCGGCTTCTTCAACGTCGCCATCTCGTCCGTCCTTCTCTTCAAGTGGCAAGTGTCATGCCGGACAGCTGTCGGGAGCGCCCCGCCCAGCAGCTCCGACTGTCTCGCTGCGTCGCTGACGGCAACCCTGTCGCGGTCCGGCTCGTCCAAGTCGGTGGTGGTGCCGACGTTCTCGTCGCCCCAGACCGCGAACAGCGGCAGTGATGATTCGTCGCCTTCATTGCACCTGTGGATTCTGAACAGTAACATTGCGTATGCCTCCTCCGGGCGCGAGGGCAAGCGGGTTGCTATCAAGCTGTTGTATCGGGAGATACCCCAGCATGAGGCGGACGCGATGCTGGAGACCATGACGTCGGACGTGCAGGAGGTGAATCTTCCCATGGCGGATATTTCTCGAGCAGCGGAGGTTCTGCGGAGCAGCACCGAGCTACTTCCGCCGAGTGAGCGAGTTTTCAAGGAATGGAATGTCGGCTTGTTGGATAAGTGGCAGGCGGGCAGCGTACCATGAAGCAGTAACGACCTAATGGCAGGTTTGGGAACGCTACACGCGACGCATGGAGAGCATACGACACGGTGATGAGGATGAAACTTCCTTCGAGGGAAATCTCCCATAGCAGGCTGGCTGTTGTATACGACGTGCCGGACAGCACCCGCTACCCTTGTTGAAGCTCTCCGGGTCATGGTCGCAGCTTCATTTCCTTTGCCAGGTCCTTTATCACGAGACCACTGCTAGTTAGCTGAGCGTGGCCAGCGTCTGCTCTAGCCAGATCGAATCCGCGAGCAAGAAAACCATCCAAGTGCAAATGCCATTGCCCTGAGCGCCGTCAGATGTTCATCTCATACTCTTCCGAGTCTGCTCTCGGCTCGGTCTCGTACATAGACACGCGGCAACCACTTGCTATGACAGCTACGGCGATGATTTGGGTTAACCTTTGCTGTGGTGGGTGATCGTTGTTGGTGAAGGGAGGAGGGCACGTCAAGATGCTTTGACATGAAGTCGCTCTCGCACATTCTAGCGCGAAGAGCTGGAGAAGTATGCACGTCTTCGCAGGAAGGGCGTCACCAAAGATGACGTAGTCTAGAATAACATTAAAATATATTCACATATTTTTGCCTGGCAACCTACATGAAGCTGCCCCTACTCCAATGCTGATTCTCGTGAGCCGTTGGGACATGCTTCGAAGCCGGGCGGTTTGGAGAATTGCGAGGACGTCCCCTTGTAGAAGGGTCGGCCCTAAATGAATCGAACTGAGAACCTTTTGCCGCGACAACATTCCATGGAGCTCGCGTTAGGTCTGCAGTCCAGACGTGCCGAAGGCCTCGAGGGTATTCTTCTGCAGCACGCCCAAGATCCGCGCAACAATTTGGTCATCTGCTTGTATCCATAGGGTACGCAAGGAGGTAGAGAACATGTTCTTGGACAGCTGGCTTTGAAACTTCACGTTTTGGGAGGGGTCGAAGTTGATAATGTCGAGATACATCTTGTCGAGCCTTCTCATTTCCATGAGCAGCCTGATAATCTTGGTAGGCAACGCGCTTGGCACATCACATCTCCACGCACTTTCATGGCGCTCCCAAGTCATTTCGGTGCTTTGGCGACGCGGATGGTGATGCAACTGCATTTCCGTTAGCTGATATGAAAGGAATGCGAGAGCAACAAGTGACTGACCGAACAGAGTCGGCAATCGAGCTCAAGGTCCTTCTCATGCGGCCACTCGGCTGCGGTGCGTTGAGGAAGATGTCAATTTGCTTCTCCAGGTCCTTCGGTTCTCCTCCAAGAACCAACTTTCGCCAACGAATGTGCAGCACATCCTCGCGTAGTTGTCGGCTGGCCCTCGCCACATTTTGCATCGTACCGTCCCCAGGACTGCAACGCGCAATTCAGTAGGTATATGTAGGAAACGAGGGAACTTCCGGTCAGCCGACATATTCTCTTGGGGCGTCTTTCTGTGTCAGGAATAGGAAAGTTTTCTGATTTTCGAAGCGTGAGCAAATGCCGAAAGTTTGCGCTGCCTTGCATGCCGTGGAGGTTCCGAAATTAAATATGTAGAAGAGTGAACGCAAGGGAAAGGGAAGGGTGAGGGCATGTATAAGCTGCTTCCTGGAATTATTCGATGAACCCACAATATCGTCTGTTCCACCGTGTTGCTCTTCTTTCACGTTTTATTTTGGAAGCCGGGGGGTTTGTATTCGTAGGAAGGACCTCTGCTGACGCACTTACTCGCGCCTTCCCAGTGAAGCCGTTGCTTCCTTCCCAGCTCAGGTGCACCTGCCCTCCTTCGCAACTTCCTTCGGAATGATGTCGGTAAACTTTTTCGAGTATATCTATAACAGGTCCTACCCGAATGCAAAATTTGTCTCCTTCACTCCTACATTCCGTCCATTCAGTTGAGTTGAACAGTAGACACCACGGTTCCCAAGGGAGGACGCCTGACAGTCTTATGGCAGTCTGATTCTATCTGAGAGGAAGGGATCTTTTGAAGTCGTTCTCAACCTCTTCTCAACAAATCTCTTGGTGGCTCTCGTCGGACAGTCTCATAGAACCTATTCTCGGCTTCTCCGTGGAACTCAGATCACAACCCCTAGAACGGCAGGCATGAACCACCCCAAAGCTGCAGCGTCTCGCAACGCCATGAAGCAGAACATGTCCACCATTCTCGAACGTGCGCGAAAGCGCTTAACCGAACTCTCTCCCTCAACCTCTCTGAAGCCAGGAGTTGCTGAAACACGGTCTCTCTGGGACTACCGTTTTCAATCATTTATGAGTGATGCATTTCCTGAGCGGTGAGTACTTGCACATTTGCTTGGCACCGTCATTCCATTGACCCTTCGTGTCCAGCGTCGAAACGGTCCCCACTGCAGAGGATGTCCTGATGTTCTTTGCGACTATGTACGACTTTATGGAGAAACGAGACGACGAGAAAATATCCTATCGTTATTATAAGCATGCATCTGGAGTAGTGCTCCGTAATCTCACCTTTCGTCACCCGTCGTTTCAATTATCAGAAACATATCGATTGCGAATCAGCAGGTGTTCCAACGCTCTCATTGCCAGGAGATGCTAACATATTAAAGGCTCTCTCATGGACGGTCTCTCGTTAGAGGGGCTTCTGACAACCGAGGAGAAGCAGCAGCGACAGTGGATCAAAGCAGGGCTCGTCAAGATGATGGCAGAGAAGATGATAGAGCACGCCTTGGAGAATGGCACGACATCTTAGGACGTTGCTGTGTCACGAATTCTATCGGTCGTCGCCATGTACGCCTTCGCCTGCCGGTCTGGCGACGTCACCGTCAGCAACGGCTAGGATCCTGATTACTGCCTAAAATGGGGAGATTTGAGAATGCGACTCAATTCGACCTCGCAGGGATCGGTATGTGGGCAGTGTTCCTTATAACTATATCGTAGTATCTTATACTCAATACTTAGACGAGGATGAGAATAGTAGAGGACGATAGGGATAGCGATAATAACGACGACGAGGGACGACGACGAGGGACGACGACGATGGACGACGATGGACGACGATGGACGACGATGGACGACGACGGCGACTATCAAAGGGAGTATAGGAAAGATGTAGGATACGGATCATATGCAGAGTTGATACTGCCTGGCCAGCAAAACTCCTCTAAATACCTAACGGAGTGGAAGGAACAAACTGTCCCCATCTCCCTGGACTGCCTCGGCTGCTTCTTGCCTCCTTTGACAACTACCTCACAACTCCTTCTTACTCTTTCCTTTCATATTGCTCTAAGGTAGTGCGTAAACCTGGACCCGCCCAAGACAGCTTTGCTCTCTCCTTCCGCCTTCAAGCTTCCGCACTCGTCTTGTTTTTGAACTACCTACTGACCTTACCTGCCTCAAAAAAAGGTATTCAAAGGCAAGCCCGAGTTGCCGCGTCAATAAACTTCCCTTTTTCACAACAAAAAGTCTCACTGCCTCTGACAGTCAGGCCCCTTCTTCACAAACCACGCTCTAAGCCTGTTTCAATTACTCCTTCTATCACATTCCTCTTATTTTTCTCACCTTCCACTCACAACATCTATCCTGCCTCACAGAAGTTTTGTGGTGCGGTAACGCAATCTCAACAATGAAATGGCAGGTGGCGATCACCCAAACATCAGTCTTCTGATGTTGAAGAAGCAGCTCAGCCTCTTTCAGGCGAACAAGGCAGTTGATGAGTTCTTCGTGAGTCGCCGCAATCGTATCATTATGCGCTTTACTAATTTCATGTCTACAGGACTGGAAGAAGCACCACAAGCGAGAGTCCCTTCCCGGTCTGACCGGTGTTCTCATCCAGCGCGTGTCGGTCATCCTCAGCGAGTGCCCCAAGAGCTTCGGCCTTGACAGCAGCCTCATGAGTGCTCTGCTGAAGTGGGTTGCCATCTACGGCAAGCTGCGCAACGGATCCGAGGACAACTACGAGAGCGGCCTCAAGAAGCTGGTGTACTCCATCTTTGCTAATGCTGATTGGATCGTCCCCCACGACAGCGAGGAGGGCGTCATCAAAAGTCAGTTCAACAAGTTTGAGAAGGCCATGAACCAGCACGAGAAGACTAGCGAGACCTGGGTTGAGACCGCAGCCAAGTACGGCGCCCAGGAGTGGCAGCTGCGCCGCGACCAGCCCCGGGGCGAGGAAGCCCGCCTCAAGCAAGCCTTCCCCCGCATGACTGCTCTGGGCGCCATGGAGGCCACGAATGGAGAGATCATCGACAAGACGGGCCGCTTGGACCGCGACGTGAACAAGGAGAAGGAAAAGACCGAGATGCTTCTGACGGAGGAGGGATACAGACTCGATTTCCAGTACGACTTTGGAACCATGACTCCGGTTTCCTACTCGGACGACGAGGGATACGAGGGAGTGCACTACAACGTCCCTGGCTGCTCGAATGGTGGAAAGGAGATTGACTGCTTGATGGGAAAGAAGGCGGCCCAGTGAGGATGATGTCGATGTGATGACATCCTAGGAGGCCTTGGTTCCCATAAGACGAATGAAATGGCAACGAATGAGCTCTTGAGACGACACGAGAATTGGCAGCGAAACAGACTACGATTCAGGTAGACCGTGAGTTATGAGAATTCGAAGATAACTTGCTCCATCATCGATGAGACCACAAGCAACGTGACTGACGGAAGTCAAATTGAACCTTGGCAGGAGAACCGATGGCCCGGACGGGGATGCCGTGACATGTCAGGTCGAGCGCCCCGAAAGTCTGCCCAATTTGTCGCGGGTGGAGCCCGTGCCCTCGGCTGCCAGCGGGTGGCTAAGATGGTCAAATGCAGGGCAGGTCGGGTACGTATCTCCGGCCGCCAATCTCCCTGGCCGGAGCCCACCAAAAGTGCAAGATCGGGACAGCACAGCTCAGCTGAGCCCTCAGCCACAGGGAGCTTTGCTGGACGTAGCGGCGCAGCATCCACTAGGAATCCACCAGCCCAACCAATGTCGTATTACCGTGTACATCTGGAAATCCATGGCAGCTGCCGTGGACCTGCCGACAAGAACTACTTAGCCAGTTTCAACAAGTTTCCTCGCCCCGAGACGTCGTCATCCTCCCGCCAAGAGCGAACGGTAAACTGCGCATACACGCCGCGTACGACCCCAGAGTGACCACATATACGCCTGATATCAGCGCATCGCGGACTCCTGCGCCGGCCGAACGCACCTCGACTTTTCTCTCTCCCTCAACAGATTTACGCCCGTCATCCCACCTGCAGCTTCCACACGCCGCCGACACCGCACCTGTTGACTGACCGCGCCGCCGAGAACCCAACCTCCTTCCAAGATGGCGCTCAACGCGAGAGATCGCAGGGCCTACAGGACCGACGATAAATACCAAAACGGAGTCATCAGCGAGGAGAACCGTAGGAAAATCATCGACGTACGTGGAAAAGCTGTCCTTTCCGGAGCTCCTCGCGGGGACCATCAGCTGACGCTTTGCGCATCTAGAACTACCTGCCGACACCCGAAGAAGACACGAGACAGCAATGGCGAGAGGGAGATGTTCCTCGTCGCGGCCGGTTTGGTCTGCGACGCGCACTTCGTCAGAAGCTTCACCTATTCATTTACACCGTCATCCACGCCATATTCTCTCTGTACATTAGGATACGACAGGCATGGCACCTGGTGTGCTATCATGTCTCCTCCGTCATGTTCTACCACCACCGGACACCAGAGTACATTGAGCGCGACGTCGTGGGGCTGAAGAAGAAGCCCAAGCACCTCAGCGTGATTCTGAAGATGGAAGAGGGCGGCAGACATGGAGCTGAGCTGGAGAGACTGGTTGGCGAGGCGGCTGAGATTGCTGTCTGGTGCGTTTGCGCCAAGATCCCCGTCTTGACAGTGTACGAGCGTACAGGTGCGTATTCCTTGCTACTTTTATGCGACGGCGACTAACTCCTTCCAAGGCCTCCTCAAGCGCTACCTGCCTCACGTCCAGCAGGCCATCATCCAAAAGTCTCGCGCCTACTTTGGTCGACACCAGCCTTCTCTCACTGTAGCCATGCCTCACGCCGACGAAATCCTCAAGTCCCCGGCCCACGGTGACTTCGCCAGCGTCGACCCGCGCCACCTCAAGGTCCTCTTCATCTCCGCCGAGGACGGCCGCGAGTCCATGGTCGACCTCACCCGCACTCTCGCCGAGATGTCCCAAAGGGGCAAGATCCACCCCCGCGATATCAGCATCGACCTCATCGACGCCGAACTGTCCGAGGGCATCATGCCCGAGCCTGATCTGCTCATCCACTTTGGTCCCTATGTCGACCTCGACGGTTATCCTCCCTGGCCCATCCGCCTCACTGAGATTTTCTGCCTGCCCGACAACCAGGGCGTCGGTTACCAGGTCTTCTTGAGGGCGCTCCGCAACTTCGCAAGCGCACAGTTTCGCAAAGGCAAATAAGCAATGGCATTGCGCACATATACCCGATTAGAGTTCTCATGGCTTTTCTTTGAGCTGGCCGCTGGCGGAAGATACCCGCATTTCCCGCATCGTTTTGTCCCACCAATAGACCGGCCCGGTCCCGACGTTGTAGTTATAGTAATTCTCAGTTCCATCCTTCACCATTGCTCGTCTGAAAGTGATGTTGATCCTCCCGCCGTCTTCCGCGTTCTTCCCGGTCCGCTTGGGGATCGAGTGCAGCCAGTTGGACTGCGTCCGCCCACGCATGAGAATCATGTCGCCGCTTCCTAGGGTCAACTTGAGCTGCTTCGGTGCTGGCCTGTCAGGGTTCTCCGGGTCCGGGGGGATGGGCTTGTGCTTCATGAGAAAGTCTCGCCTTGCGCCGAGAGAGAAGGAAGCAATTGCCGGGTCTGGGCCCAAGAATCTCTCGTCATCGCTGTGGAACGAGATGCTGTCTGTCCCCGAGGCGTAGTAGTTGACCAGGCAGAAGTTGAACTTGCAGTCGGTCGCTGCCTCGGTAGAACGGCGGAGGTCATCGAGACACTTGGGAATCGGCCGAGGCGGATACCTTTGGTAGCGCTTGTCCTCGACCTTGAATCTGGAGTTGACGTCTACGACTGAGCCATCTTCGTCGAAGCGTGCTGTGTCGTCGAGGCCAAAGACCGTTGTCCACCTGGCAACATGTCAAAAGGCTTTCGAGACGAGTTGTTGAACACGAGTACCTACCTTGGCGTGCGAATATGAGTTTTGATGCCACCCCTGTTGATATCGTACTCAACCCGGTAGAAAGGCAGCTCTGCTCGGAGGAACTCAAAGAGATCCTTTGCTAGATATGACGGGACGTATGGCTCGAAGTAGAGCAAGTCAAGGTCCGGCTGGTCGTTGATTTCCCTACCCAGACGTGCTGGCAGAGATGAGAGCTCTTTGCTAATACTAGGCGCTAGCTCCGAAATGGGGCAAGGATAGTTCGGATGAGTTGACTTTCCAACCTGGCAGTCCGTTAGCCTCTGCAACATCACAGGTTGAGAACACATACAGCCTCCACAGTCTCATCCTCCTTTCGCGTCTTTTTCGCACTCGGCGCGAAGAACGCGTCCAACGTTCTCTTCTTCGACATGGTTTGCGAGGTGGACGGTGATTGGTGGTGTGTAAGTGAAAAGAAGGTTCGGTTTCGCCGGGGACCGTTGAGTCGTCGCCACATGTATGCGCAAGAACAAACTTCCTTCAAACGGAAACAACCATACCGCTGGATTCTTGCTCAAATTCCAACGAATAATATTGAGCAAGTGACTTAGCATCAATACAGTCTCGTGGATAGAGT